GCTGACTTTCAGATGAAAGCGTCGACAAGGGATGGATGAAATTGGCTATCGCAGGTGATAAAAAAACTACCAGGTACACTCCCTATCCCTGAGAAGGAGTAGGCGTGGCACTGAACATGGTACAGAACGGGCTGCTCATGAAATACTTCCAGTCTGGGACCAACTGTCATCTTGTTCTGTGTTGGACAGAGACATGAACACAATTGTGTTAAAATGAAAATATCTCATCAAAAGCACAACCGCCACCACGTTTAGTTCAAGAACGGAGCCACGCCTACCCCATCTCAGGGTTTCGAATGTATTTTGCGCACTAAGCATGCGGGCCGAACAAAGGTCAGCAACAAGTTGCTCGTTAAAGCTTTTCAAATGAATATGATTTACTGTTGAATTAATCATCTCACTTCGAGAGTGCACTCCAAACAGCCATATTCAAACTTGAGACTTTCGGCAGGTGGGGGACCAAACTTCAACATAGATTGTAGTTTTGGTCCGGCATGCAACTTGACTCCTTCCGCCTGAAACACCACATTGTCCATAATACAGAACTGGTAAGAGAATGTTGTGACAGTAGGTGACGCAAAGAACACATCCAAAGTAAAATGAGCTGAAAATGCTTCTTGTTACTTTGAACATTCCACATAGTTGATCGAAGAATGCCGTGCTGACGAGATCCTTATGAATGAGAATAGTTTCGGCTGAATTGCAAGCTGATGGATAGTCGCATTTTGAATCGCGCACGATATCGATGGCCATCTGTAATCGAGAAATTCAAGAGATTCCCATCAACAGAATATAATTATACTTTAGTTCGCTGCGGATGAAGGGGCGTGTCATGTCATGCATATGGGTGGGCAACGACGCCAACTTCATTCTCTGCCGGTTGTTGAAGCGGGTATGTGACAACAATTGGTAGAAAACGAGTGATACGAACGATATGATACAGTCTTGTCACTTGCTCGCTTCAACAACTGGTGGAGAACGGGTTTGGCACCGCGCCAAACTCATCCCGCCTGACACGCCCCTTCGTCCGCAGCGAACTAGACTATATTGTCAGATTTTGACATCTAATTGTATCGTCCATAAGGGGTATGTGACCGGATACAACATCATCGGAAGGATTCTCTCAAGGGGATCGCACTTGGTTTCTGGGGCTTTATTTGGCCTTGGCAGAAACTTTTTCTGAGCCGCGAAAAAAAATGTTCCCATTGTTCACTTTTTTTTCTCTCTCTCTTTGTTCCATGGTCCTTTTCCTTGTTCCTTCAACTGCTGGCCAGTAGATGCGATGAGAAAGTACCTCTAGACCCTCGCAGCATGTCCAGTTTATAGACCCCTGCAACCGGGCCAAGATATCGCGGCTTGCGTTTCGCAACCTCAGCAAAAAGCACTAGTGTTCAAATTCAACGCCCATCCTATCGGACCAAAGTTTTCATGCATATGCAAATAAAATATTACGCCACTAAATCTGTAGTGCTCCGTATCCACAGCACTAAATGTTTAGTCTACAGGTTCAGAAGGCTTGACAATTAGTCAGCTTCGAACTCGACATTTGAATTTACTAACCTGTTCATCTAGCTCTTTGTCAAGGTAGACGTGACAAATTCCTTCGGCGTGTCCAAGCACCGGAATTCCTTTGCTGTTCTCCTGCATCGATCGCACCAAATCAGACGAACCGCGGGGAATTACAAGATCGATTAGATCCTAAATCAAGTCAGCATTCATTTTGGAAACTACCTCACCTCATCATCGGACATATTACTCAAAGCGTGGGCCAACTAATTATGTAATTAGGCAATTAGCCAGAAGATCAAAAGTTAACGTCAGTTGTTCCCAATGCAACTGACATACCATTCAGCTCACTCTCCGTCAAATGATGATTGCATAGAGATTACTTATAAAGGAAGCGAACCGATGAAATGTCTACTAGCGGAAGCCTGACCTTAAGCTGAAGAAGTTCCGCCACGTCTTCACGGCTTCGCACCAATGTTACAGCGTCACGCATCTCGTAACCGTGAGTGCCGAGAGCCTCCTAAAAAAGATCACTCGAAGAATGCATCATATACTTGTGAATTTCGATGGTAACTTTTCCCAGTTACACCAGGATTACTATTGCCTCGGAAGTTATGAAGTACACCCCTGATT